TACTTAAAGGGCCGCTTTGTAATTGAGAAAATTTGACAAATTTAATATCGACTACAGGTTACAAATCAAATATAAACATATAAAAAATAAATATAACGTTTATCTAATCCAGCAAGGACCTATATTTTTATGTTCAAAAACACATGCGAATACACACATGCACAATAACATATACACGTATATACACATAGGCGTGTACCCACATACACACATATATATATACCCATGTACACACATATAAAAATATATTCACATATCTACACATATTCATGTATATCCATATATACACACTTTTCTCACACATATACATACATACACATGCACACATGCATATACCCATCTATACACATATAAAAACACATATATATATATATATATATATATATATATATATACATACACATATACATATACACACATACACACACATACATATGCACACACATATCCATACACACATACACAAAATATATATATATATATATATATATATATATATATATATATATATATATGTATGTGTACGTGCGTGCTTTGATTGTTCTACGTATTGTGAAGTTACTATTATTACTATTATTATATCAGTGTACTGGGAGATCTTTGATGTGTTAGTGTGTTCTTGGTGTGTTCCTCAATTGGGTAGCGAGCATAACAGAATCATACAAGCGGTTGTATGAAAGCCTTAGATTACATCATCGGTGAGTTTCTGAATCTTATATTCTTTAAGTATAGACTTTATGTATGTTGGTCATAAGAAAAAGTGCGTCTATCGTTGGAAGGATATTTATTAGTAGTCCATCTAAATATTTTCTTCTATTTTCTATTTGGGTTTTTTATTAGGGTAGCAATATTTAAATTAAATCTGATGTATACCTATACGCTACTAATGATTTTAATGATACTGAAAGTTTAGTGGCTTTGTTTTATTCACTATATATATATATATATATATATATATATATATATATATATATATATATTAATAAATATACATATCTCTCACCGCTGGCACAATTCTGATGAAACTCTGAGTCGTGCTAGAGGGAAGGGTTAATATGTATATTTATTAATATATACATAATCGCTCTGTTATATTACATTGATCATTGTTTTATTAAAATCATCACTAAATGTGCGATATATATATATATATATATATATATATATATATATATATATATATATATATATGTTTCATTAAAAACGACAGACAAGGTACCATCAAACCATCCATCCTAAAAAAAATACTACACGCATGCACAACCAAAGTTCCATTCTATGTCCATAATGGCAATATTTACACCCAAACTTATGGTGTTAGTATGGGAAATCCACTCCGTTCATGTTTTTCCAACTATTACATGTCCTACTAGAAAATCCGATATTTACACAGGTCCGCAAACCGAAAATATATGTTCACTACGTAGATTATATTTTTTTTAAGAAATAGAGACACTTAAGACCACATTTGAGAAAAACTCCGTCCTTTTTTTTTACCTATGAACTTAGCCAAAAAAACAAACTTCCATTCTTAGATGTCCTCGTTGAATACAGCAATAACACTTTCATTACATCATTATACAAAAAACCCACAAAAAACCACCAGCAAAAACTCGTGCAACTTCAAAAGCAAATATCCACTTAGGTACAAAATAGCAGTAATAAAAAAACTTTCTAAATAGACCACACCAGAATTCATCCTCTCGACTACTCTTCTTCAAAGAACATAATAATGTTAAACAAACACTAATCAACAACGGCTTCCCTAACCACCTCATAGATCACCAAATTAGACTATTTCTCCCCAAAGTAAGTAATAACGATAGTGAACACACAGCCAAAAATCACATACATATTTATTACAAAAAAAACAAATGAATATTAATTACAAACAATTGACCCGAATAAAAAAAATCAAATTAATTATCTATTATAAAAAATCTAAGACAAAAATAACAACACACCAGCTAAGTCAAAATTACAAAGAACGAACATTATCTATGAGTTCAAATGCCCCTAAAGGAACTGTGTTCCTAATCAAACCGGACTCATAAAAAATAATTACATCGGTTACACAACTACATGCTTATCCAGACGTCTTACGTTACACCTATCTGATCACAGCTCCATTAGAACCCATTTAAACGCACACACAGATTTACCCGATTCCATTCATTAGAAACATACTAGTAGAAAACACAAATATATTAATTGCATCCACCTGCAAAAAAAAAGACTAAAAGTAATGCAAGCTTTAATAATAAAAAAGAAAAGGCCAACTCTTATCAATGTTAACTACGAACAAAGCCACAATGTGCTAATCGTATTCGGAAATTAAAAACACCCCTACCACACACTAAGACATACACAGAACGCAGACACTCAATTAAGCTGAAAAATCGAATCATCCTTGATAATGGCTAAAGGTATAGCCGAAAGCGCTCGGAAATATAAAACATTTGGACAGTTCTTACACACCCTTTGTCCAGAAAAGAAAACACTTGTTCGAACACAAGGAAAATTAAATAAAAAGCTTAACCGTAGTACCTTGTCTGTCGTTTTTAATGAAACATGCATAAACGATTTCTGCCGAAATATACAACTATATATATATATATATATATATATATATATATATATATATATTGAGCATTTCATCCCAAGAAAGGCGGGAGGGACACTAGCACGCAAGGGGTTACAGAGAGTCAGAGCAAGAGTAAAGACGGGTGTTTGAGGAAAGGATAAAGAGAAGGACGGGGATCAGGACCAAGATATCAGAAGATGTCGATTGACATTACTTTCAAATTTATGAAGATTATGGTTATCAAGGAAGCAAGTAAGAGGAGGGAGTTAGAATTAATTAAAAAAGAAATACGTCAGAGAAATCATGACAAAAATGGAGACCAGCGTAAAAAGCTATCTATCCTGAAACTTTTTTATTTTATTTTTCGGGAAAAGTACGAAAAAAACATCTACATTTAAAGAAGCCATCACTCTTTATTGGTCGTTTGACTGTCACTCACAGAAAGGAAACACGACGCCCAATATAGAGCTAGACAGGAGAATAGACACACAGGGTAGTATTTCTACTTGTATCTCTTCCCTGTAGATGGGGTAATTAAATTTTGATTGAGACACTCGTATTGTTTTCAGATAAACAGCACAAATGACCAAAGAAAAAAAAAATAGCTCAGTCATTTAAAACAGCAGACATAGACCGATCCCTGAAATGTAAAGAAAATATATATATATATATATATATATATATATATGTATGTGTGTGTGTGTATTGTGTATATTTAGGCAGCATATTTTTATTCAAACAGGTTTTGTTAAGTAATTTAGACATATATCGATTAGTATGGTGTTAATTTTGGTATTTTTCTTACTCAATTTTCTAAATCTACCAAAAAATTAATCCTCGAATTTGAAAGGATCACAACTAAAACTAATCGACATGATATGTCTAAATTATTTAACCGAACCTCTTTGATATATATATATACATATATATATATATATATATATATACATATGTGTGTGTGTATGTGTGTGTGTGTAAATGTATATTTAGGCAACATATTTTCATTCAAGCATGTTTGGTTAAATAATTTAGACGTATTATGTTTATTTATATTAGTTTAAATCCTTTCATGTCCACGTGTGTGTGTGTGTGTTTGTGCGTGTATATACTGAACTGAAAGACACTCATACGTCGTTAACGAGTTCATCATATAAACATATATATATATATATGTGTGTGTGTGTGTGTGTGTGTGTGTGTGTGAAATGTAGTTTTAAGGTGTGCTATATTTATGGAATAAAGTGCTCAATATCAGAGATAAAGTCTATGTAAATATAAATATAAAAGTGAACATTGAAGTCAACACTCAGAGGCGACAGGCTGTTTCATGCTAGACGCAATCGTCAGGCGTCCAGCATGAAACAGCCTGTCGCCCTCTAATGTTCACTTTTATATATATATATATATATATATATATATATATATATATATATACCCTATACAAGCCTCGGGGAACCACTCTAGGTAAATGGTTACGTTAAGGGTTAGTTTATATGGATAGAATGGGCAGGCGGTTAACTCTAAACTTGAACAGATTAAGATTGAAGTAATCAGGGAAACATCCACTCAGGGGTCTGTTTTACATAGCAGTTGTTTGCGAAAAGAAGCTGTTTTGGTGGTTCTTACTCCTCGCCTATGGAGTTCGGAGGTAATGTGGGGGATTTGCTACAATATATGTGGCATGGTGTATCCTAGCTGTGAAGGTTCGACCTGGCGAAACCAATGAATATGGTTCGCCCGAGCACTTTCTGTTGAAATAGAGATAGATCAGTGAGAGGATCACTACAACCCACGTGTGAAAGAAAGGTTGGAGGCTGAAAAATAATTCTTCTCCAACAAGGACTCGGAGATGCTTTTGTCATATTTGGGCGGGAACTGCCCAGTGCTCGCTAACAACTGAAAATTGAGCTCCCGACTAAATATGGCATCAGTACAGCATTTTCGGGCTGATCTGGTTCTTATTAAGTTAGAAGAATGCATAAGGAGTCAGGTACTTACTGAAGCGGTACAGCGAGCCGATCACTTTACATGCATCTTTAGCGATGGATCTTATATAAGAGTTCCAGTTGTGGTCGGGTGTCAGATTGAGGCCTAATATTCTAAGACACCGCTTGAGACCGTGGACATCGTGACTGGCGGTAGTTCAGGGTGGATCGGAAGAGAGGTCAGGATTTTTAAAGGTGCGTCCGGAGCTAGATGTTATAATACGTATTGTTTTTTTTAGCTTAGCTTAGATAAATGTTGAATCAATTCGAAACAGGTTTGAAAATCCGTGCTGCACCAGCCCTCTAAGTGGACAACGCACACCTGTTTATCTTGAAATTCATTAATTTTTGCTTTTACCTAGTTTTGAAAACGACAACTGGATACTTTAAAAAAGATGTAGCTATTTCAGCCCCGAACCAAAACAAGGGCTATGATTGCACGCCAACAGATAAAAAGCACAACGATAAAATTTCTTTTATTAGGTGCATTTTACGTAATTTCGGTGGTCATGGCTAAGAATGGAATCTTTTTTTTTTCTTTTTAAGCATTACGCCCCGTGCAAGGCGTGAAGCCACTAGGGTGCAGGGGGTTGCAGAAGATTTGGAGCGAGAGCGGATAGGAGTGATAGAAGAAAGAATGAGGAGAAGGATAGTGGATAGATCAGGGTAATTGGAGATATCGATTAACATTACATTTGAATAGTTGGAGATTATAGCTCTCAGAGAAACAGTAATTGGGAAGGGTGTTCCACAGGCGAGAGGTGCGATGTATGAAGCTATTGGAGTAGAAGAGACGGCTACATTTAAAAGTTTCTACAGTGTAAGGGTGGGAGCGGGATGCCAGCCTCGTAGGGCGCTTGAATTCATGGAGTCTGGGAACCAGTGAAAGCAGCTCATCGGAGCAATTACCATGAAAGTATTTGTAGAAAAGACAGAGTGAGGCGACGGCGCGTCTGTGAGAGAGTGACTATAGACGAGATGCCAGATCAGGGCCAATTATATTACATATCCGTCTCTGGATCTTGTCAAGAACTCCGAGGTAAACAGAAGGTGCCCCAGACCATATATGGCAGCAATACTCCATGTAAGGGCGAATGGTTGATTTGTATCTTGTCTTTTCTTTCTCGGCTTAACTTTTGAAGCTTGACAATCTATCAACTCCTCCAAAAAACGGGACTCAAGATAAACCTTTCCAAATCAGAAACTATGATCTGGAATTGGAATGAAATAGTGATGGTACATACCTTGAATCTATCATGAATATATATGCGGAATTATTAAATACTAAACACATCGGCGTACACTATCCACGTGTAAATTAATAGAAACAAAACGAAGAATTTCGTTATTATTTCGTATTTTTCCTATGAAACATGACCCAGTGCATATATCAGTACTTCTTATGTTCAATCTACGAAGTCTTTCCTTGCATATAGACCACAGATTCTCGAATGGATTTAAATCAGGAGATTTTCCTGGCCAGTCTATAGTACTTTGATTTGCTCAATAGTAAGGCTTGCCAGTGTGTTCGTGTAGCGTTACAATTTTCGTACTTACTTGGAGTAACGTTTATCGCAGACAATGGCTGCAAGACAACTAATCGACAGTCGAGAAAATAGTGTCTGTGCGTGATAAAAATCTGAGCCAATCATTGATGACGCATATTTTTAAGGACAAAAAGAATTCATCATATACCTCGAAAATAAATTCATATGACCTAATCTGAGGAAAAAAAGTATTAAGTATGAGAGAAAAAGAAATTGAGCATAGAATTGGTGGCGCCAGGGATAGTTTGCCCAACACCGTAAATAGCTACGAAACCAAAACATCACCCTAAACCTCGTGTCATTTTCTTAAATAGTCTCGTTAGATCGAGACTTATATATAGATTTCATGTATGGCGCCAATCCTCTTCAGAAATATCTAAACGCTCAGCTGTATACAACCGCATTCTAAGATCTATGGTGAAAAAAGGCTTTGAGCGTGTAAAGCCTGGGGGTCTTGACAAAGGTTATCTTGCTTTGAACATTGTGGACTGGTGCTACAGTAGCAGAAAACAAAGAACTGTACCAAATAACAGAAACCACATCACTTGAGGACTACCAACAGCAGCAACAACTAAAATGAATAGCATATGTAACTCAACAAGAAAATAATAAAATAAACGAGTATATGGATTGTAAAACATGGATTTGGATGGATTTTAAGGTGCTAAATATTACTTGGAACTAAACAGGATAGGAAGCAGTGGAGACCCATGATCGATCTTCTTGAAGTTGGGAGAGCCATTATAAACCTACTTAAAGAACTTGTGTAAATGGATGGCAAAATATGAAAAAAGAGAGATAGTAAGGGGATAATATTGCTTAGAGCTAGAAAGGATAAGAAGTTGTGGAGAGCCATGATCGGCCTTCTTAACAAGCTTGTTTAAATGGTTACCCGAACAAGGATTAGGAAGAACATTAAACGAAAAAAAAACATTGCTTAGAAATATGAAGGTTAGGAAATTGTGGAGAGCCGTGATAGGTGACATCCTGAAGGAACACTTCACATAGAAGACGATTCTATTTAAAACCTCGTTGTTTCTCACATAATCTGTCCATGATATTCTCATCGTCCGTCGGTACCCCCCCCCAAAAAAAAAAACACATTTTCATTTTCTTCAAGTCTTTTCGCCTTTTGTAACGTGACTGTCCACTATTCACTGCTATATAAGAGATTAGACATTTTTAAATACGGACAACAAAAACCAACAATAGGCTTTTGTCCTCGGGATTCAAGTAAAGCTGACACACGGACTCGTATGCTCTTTGTCTGACAGCAAGATGACTTAACTGGAAAGAAAGAATTGTGAAAAGAAAGACGGATAATTTTAACATATTTTAAAATAACAATCCAGAGGTAAGTCTTAGTTGAACGGTGTTGGGTTGAGGAGCTTTTTTTTTTCTCTTCTTTTCTTTTTCTCAAGATTATTTTTGTTTTAGACTTTTGGATATTTTTGGTTCTTTCTTTATTTTAATGTTTTTTTTTTTGTTCTTTTTTTCTTTCTTTCTTTTGCGCATTCTTGATTTCTTTTTTGCTTATTTTCTTTTTTCTCTCTATTTTCGAAATTCATTGTTTATTTTACTTCCTTTTTCCTATTATTTCTGTAAGCTTTTTTTTTTTTTTTCATTCTTTATTCATTCCATTTTTTTCGCTTTTCTGTTATTTGTTTACTTTCTTTCTTTATTTGTTTATTTATTTCGGTTCTTTCTTTCTTTCTTTTTTATTTTCATTTCGTGCTTTTACTTACTTTAATATTTTCTTTCTTTTTTTCTTTCTTCTGTGTTTCTTTTTTTCATTCTTTATCTGATTGCGTTCGGAGCTTTTCTTTCTCTTTCTTTCTTTCATTCTTTCTCTTTCTTTCTTTCTCTTTCTTTCTTTCTTTCTTTCTCATTCTTTTTTCTTTCTTTCTTTCTTTTTTATTTTCATTTCGTGCTTTTGCTTTCTTTAATATTTTCTTTCTTTTTTCTTTCTTCTGTGTTTCTTTTTTTCATTCTTTATCTGATTGCGTTTGGAACTTTTCTTTCTCTTTTCTTTCTTTCTTTCTTTCTTTCTCTTTCTTTCTTTCTTTTTTATTTTCATTTCGTGCTTTTACTTTCTTTAATATTTTCTTTCTTTTTTTCTTTCTTCTGTGTTTCTTTTTTTCATTCTTTATCTGATTGCGTTCGGAGCTTTTCTTTCTCTTTCTTTCTTTCTCTTTCTTTCTTTCTTTCTCTTTCTTTCTTTCTGTCTTTGTTTCTGAATTTCTTTCGAGTTTTTTCTTTCGTTCCTTCTTTTTCCTTTATTTATTTCGATTCTTTCTTTTCTTTCTTTCTTTTCTTTCTTTCTTTTCTTTCTTTCTATTTATTTTTACTTCCTTTAATAATTTCTTTCTTTCTTCCTCTTCATCGATGTCCTTTATTTTTTCGTAGTTATTTTTCCTTTCTTTTCTAGATTTTCTTTCTTTTTCTCTTTCTCTCTATTTCTTTTTTCTCTGTTTCATAATTTCTTTGGCAGTTTTTCTTTTCTTTCAACCATTTTTATTTCTTCTGTTTGTTGTAGAGTTCGTTTCTTTCTCTCTTTCTTTTTCTTTTTTATTTTGTTTCTTTTCCTTTTTCTAACTCTCCTTAATCATTTGTCTTTCTCTCATTTTTTCTTTTCTTTTTTTATTTTATCTTTACTGCCCATCTCTTTAGTTCTGAGTCATATCCTTTCTTTTTTTTCCGTTTTTGTCGCTTTCTTGTTTATCCACTCACGCTCCCTTCTTTACTTCTTTCTTCCTTTCTTTTTCTCTTTTGCTTACTTTTATTGCAGCCTGTTTGTTCTTTCCATCATTTTATATCTTAATTCTTTTGTAACTTTCTTTCTTTCTTTCTTTCTTTCTTTCTTTCTTTCTTTCTTTCTTTCTATTCCCGCTTTCTTTATATCAATATCCTTTACCTCGTCCTTTCGTCCATTTCAACATATTTCTTTTACTCTCAGGAAATGCTTACTTAGTTTTTTACCTTCTTTTTCAGGGTATTTTTCTTTCTTTCTTTCTTGCTTTCTTTCTTCCTTTCATATCTCTTCATTTCTATTCTTTCTTTCTTTCATCCTTTCCATCTTTTAGCTTTCTATTATTTATTTTCGTTTTTACCTTTCTTTCTTTCTTTCTTTCTTTCTTTCTTTCTTTCTTTCTTCCTTTCTTTCTTTTAGCTCACTATCCTTTCTTTCTTTCTTTCTTTCTTTTACAATTTCACTCGTTCATTTTTTTAGTCCAGAAATTTTTGCATGTTCATCATTTTTTGTATATGATGATTGCACTGAAATAGTTTGCACTTTTCACAGATAATCGCTGTTCTTACCCTATCATGTATGTTTTTTATATTACTTCTGCGTTATCTTACTATTATTATTATTATTGTTATTATACCATATTACAGTGAAACACATCAACCTTAAGCAAAAATCTATATTTTCATACAAAGACAATTACATTAGCCACTACTACAAATACAATTCAATATGATTTAATATATATATCGTTTACGCAGCCTGATCTCTCTTCCTTGGTAATAAGATAATATTGTGTTATCATAACAAAGATATAATTCATTGGTAAGTAATGATATTGTCTTTCATTTTTTTAGCATTAGGTCCCTACATTTTATTTTTTAAATTTTAAAAGCAGAATTATTTCTCACATGTGAGAAGAGTTAATTTTATAGGTAGATATAAGTAATAGATGACATATGCGGAAATGATAATAATAATAATAATAATAATAATAACAATAATAATAATAATAATAATAATAATATTATTATTATTATTATTATTATATTATTATTATTAATTAATAATAATATTATATTATTATTATTAATAATAATAATATATTATTATAATATATTAATAATAGTAATAATATATTATATTATTTTTAATAATAATATTTTATATTATTATTAATATATTATTATAATATATATTATTATTATTAATAATAATAATATATTATATTTTACTATTAATAATAATATAATATATCATTATATTATATTATATTATTATCATTATTAATAATAATAATATATTATATTATATTATTATCATTAATAATAATAATAATAATAAATTATATTATTAATAATAATAATATATTATATTATTATTAATGATAATAATATATTATATTATATTATTATTAATAATAATATATTATTACATTATATTATATTATTATTAATAATATTATCAATAATATTAATATATTAAATTATATTATTATTAATAATAGTAATAATATATTATATTATATTATTATTATCATTATTCTTAATAATAATAATAATAATAATAATAACAATTGCATATTAGCAAAGCAATTGCAAAATTAATTATATTCATCCGCCATTTTTGACAAGACAAGTTAACTTGTGATTATTTAAGATATAATAATGTTAAACCTTTGGATATTTTTTTATTTTTAATGATTTCTGACTCTTGGTAATTACTTTATATAAATTGTCATTTTACAATAAATAGGTAATTTTACTAGAAATAGGTAATGTTAGTGATTATATTATATAAAATATATTTCTGGTAATTTTACTATAAATAGGTATTTTTGGTAATTTTATTATAAAATCGATGGTAATTATTTTATGTAACATGTATCCGTGGTAATTTTACTTTAAATAGGTATTGTTAGTAGTTATGTTATATAAAACGCAATTTTACTATAAATACATATTTTTGGTAAATTTTCTATAAATAGGAATTGTTGGTAATTATTTTATATAAAATGTATTGCTGGTAATTTTAATATAAATAGGTATTTTTGGTAATTATTTTATATAAAATGTATTTCTGGTATTTTTACTATAAAAATGTAATTTTATATTTTCATAGTGCTTTGTTTGTCGGGTTCAATATTTGCACATAGCTTCGACTCTAACGGATGCTACCACCCCCGCGTCAGGGTGGGCCGGGGGAAAAAAACAAAAAAAAACAAGCAATTAAGAGGCTTCACTCTCCTCAAAACCTCCAATCTCTCGAACAGAGGTCTTGCTGCTGGATATAGTTTATCGTCATACCCAGGACTGAGGCTATAGAGTATGGCATATATTATCAATAAACATAAGGAAGTCGTAGAAAAAGAAAAAAATAATTGCAATGATTGCTGTGAATTGAAAGGAAGTTATTTTAATCATAGGTTGCTGTTCTAATGTCTTTTTATAGGCGTTATCCATTTATTCCACTTCAAGTAATAATATATTATAATATACTGTTTCATCACTTCCGTGATCCCTTACATAGCAATTTAGTAAGAATACTTTAGATGTGGTACAAAGCTTAATGTATGGATCACTGAGAGCGATTCATTATAACTACTAGGTCATAATTGATATAGCGAGACACAACTTTGAAGTGCGCAGTCAGTCGTCCTTATAAATGGCTACTTCTGAATAGCTGTTTTTACTTTTAATGATATCAAAAGCAGAAATATTTCTTACGCGTGACAATCGAATTAATTTTATCATTCCTGGAAGACTCGAGCAGAAGACTTCACCAATGCAATTGTAAATTACTAAAGTATTTGTGTTATTTGTTTGACAGTAGGACAGTGTTTTAACAGAGGGCAGAAAACTCGACGGTGCATTGGAATAGCAGAATATGCCTTCCAAAAGCTAAGCAAAGTATTAAGAAACAGAGAAAAGACTACTTTTTTAAGACAATTCATCCAAAACAAGGCGGGAGTGCCAGTAGCGCGCAAGGGGTTACAGAGGATTGAGAAGAAGAGTAAAGAGGCGTGGTTGAGGAAAGGATACAGAGAAGGACGGGGAACAAGCTCAGGGTATCAGATATCGATTGACATTGCACTTGAATATTTGAAGATTTTAGTCATTGGGGAAGTAAGTAAGGGGAATGGAGTTCCACCGACGGGAAGTGCGGGAGAAGAAGCTGTTTGAAAAGAAAAGACGGTTATATTTAACCGTTTTGACAGTGAAAGGGTGGGACCGAAATGACAGCATAGTAGCTCGTTTAAATTCATGCAATCTGGGAACTATGACAGCAATATTCCATGCAAGGACGGATGGTTGATTTATAGATTTGAAGAATGGACTCAGACGAGAAAAACATTCTGGCATAACACCGACAACCAACTTTCCTTGCGGTAGATGAAGCTATTGATTCAATGTTTCTATTCCACCTCATGTCATTGGACAGTGTGAAACCAAGCAGGCGTTACGAGGCGCTCTCAAAGAATTGGGAATCAACCATTCTGATGGGAGGCAAAAAGTTTTCTCTGTGATAGGTAAATGAGAGCAGTTTTGTTTGGAGATATTAAAGTTTACAAGCTATTTCCTGCCCCTGTCAACCACAGATTGGAGGTCATTTTCGAGATCAGCAGCCAGGTTAGTTTGTCAACGATACTAAGCTGTTATGTATTATATCGGCCCTCCTGTATAGCAATGAATGCTCAGCAATCGATTTACAGATGAAGAAGAGACTTGAAGCAACAGAACTGTGGGTCTACTGAAGGATGCTGAGAAATCCATATCCTGAACCTGTGATTAATGACGAATTTTTTTATAAAATGAAAATAAAACAGACACTTATGCTTACCATCAGAAAGAGAGTTTAAATTTCTAGAGCACATAATGAGAAAACAGGTTTTAGATAAGCCGACATTCAGAGGACATATTGAAGGTAAAAAGGACTGATATGTCCCGGAAAGGGATATATTTGATCGAAGTAGCTAAGTGGGTTTGGCTAATGTAACCAAGTAGTACACGGTAGCAGTAATCGACTGGTACTCGTCGTAGTCGCAGGTAATAGGTGTAGACCAATAGGATAGCCAATGGCGTAGTTCAATGGGCGTCGTCAGAGACTTAAACTCTGTCGTACCTACACGTCCGTCTGTATTTATGACGGACACCAGCCAATCATATTCCAGTGAGGGGGAACACAGGTGTATGCATATTCTGTTATATCAGGAACAGAGAAAAGTAGCGAATAACGTACCAAAAGAGCTCGTGGAGATAGTTGGCCGAACATGCATTAGGGGAGATAGCAAAAAAAGACAAAATTTACAAAGAGCTACAAAGGACGGGAAATTGTGGATAGAAATGATTGTTCACATCCTGAAGGGACACGGCACAGAGAAGAAGACGTGTATATTTGTATTAACATATATGACGCTTACAGTGACTTGTTTAATATATTCATATTTAAAAGGAAGATATAGTTCTAAGTTATCTTATCTTTCTCAGATAGTGTAGCAATATGAGTCAGCTGAAGTATTGAACTGAAAGCAGCAGGACCTATCGCAAAAGTGGATACGGAACTTTTACTTACGACCGATGGTTATTATTAAGGGGAGACAACTTCAAAGTAAAGAGCAAGAGGCTCAGACTGAGAGAAAATCACGGGAGGAAGATAAATTACTTATTTTAGACGAAGATGACAAGACAAAGGAAACTGTTATCCATAAAACTAACCATTCTGCGAAAAGGCACACAAAGGAACACAAAAGGAACCAAGTGGATCTCGCAGGATGAATAGCGAAGATCGGCGCTAATTGTGCATAGGCCTCATCACTTACTTCGTATCTCTCCATCGCTCGATTATAGCAGTAAGTTACAACCATAGAATAAAATCTGCTAGATTTTGTTTTGATCTTCACTAGTGGGTATTATCTGGCTGAAGGGTGATTTTTAAGCTATAGGCGTTTGACTACAAGAAACTGCACCCTGTCAACGAACCTGGTGTCTGTTCTGAGTTGCAAAGCAACAATAGTAAACCAAAGAAAATATGACAAATAATTTTTGTCCCCTCACAATTGCCTTTTTCAGAAGTCGACTTATCTTCCTTTTAAGCATTTTTTTTCCTTTTTTTCTTATCACATATTTTCTTTTCTCTCAAACTTACATGTTTATTTAAAATTTACGTGACTTGCATTTCTTAAAGAAATTCTCGTGTGGAGCCGATGGTGGATTATTTGAATATGTATTTGAATCGAAATCCTTTGTGTACGTACTTGTGTGTCGCGGACAATAACAAAGGTTTTATTTCGGTAAAAAACAGTCGACCAGCAGGGTATTTCTGTAAATATAGTGCTCGATAGAGATAGAGCGTAAACAATGATAATAAAGTTAGAATTAGAATTATTGATGTTCTATAGCTTAAAAATTACCCTTCAGCTAGATAATACCCACTAGTGAAGATCAAAACAAAATATAGCAGATTTTATTCTAAGGTTGTAACTTACTGCTATAATCGACCGATGGAGAGATAAGGCGTAAGTGATGGGGGCTATGCACAA